TTTGTCTCAAAACTCGTGTAAAAGATGGAGGAGCAACACAGGCCGACGCTGGCCCGCTCGACGGCCCCCGAAGGTGCCCGGCCCAGTGCTCGGCCCACGGCGCCAGCGCCCTCGGGAGCCGCCGGCCCCGCCCGGCCCTCACCTGCCGGCGTAGGTGTCGTACAGCCCCACCTTCCCGTCGTCCGTCCCGAAGGCCAGGCAGCCCTCCTTGGCCGGGTGCCAGCACAGCTGCGGAGACGCGTCGGGGTCCTCAGGCTCGCCCCACCCGGCGTCTCCCCACACCCGAAGAACGGGCACTCGCGGCCGCCCACCCCCCACCCCTCGCGGCGCCTCTGCCATCACAACCGGGAACGCGGGCGGCCCTCTGCGCGGGGGACACGGGCCGGCCGGGCAGCCGCCCCCGCAGCCCTTACCGCGGTGACCTTGGCCTTGACGCCCTGCCAGAAATGCTTCACGTCGTAGTTGTTCTTTATGGACAGCGTGTTCCAGACGCGGATCGTGCCGTCCCCCACGCCCACGGCCAAGCAGCCGGCGTCCACGGGCGAGAAGGCCAGGCTGTAGGCGAAGCCCCCGAGGGAGGGCAGCGTCCAGCAGCACGCCAGCGTGGCCATGTCCCAGCACTTGATCTGAAACCGGGTAACAGGACCGGCGTTGCGGACGGGACGGGCCGGGCCCTGCAGGCACAGCGGCAGCGGAGAGGCCGGCGCCGCTCGCCACTGTGGACAGCGAGAACAAAGGGGGCTCCGGACAGCGGGATTCAGAGCGGCTACCGCAAAACAGCACGCCTCTCACAGCCGGGCGGGGCAGCAGAGGGCGCGGGGGCTAGCCCCCCGGGGAGACCCCGGCCCGGAGGCGCCGGACGCTCACGGGCTCAGCCCCCACTCGCGGGGATCCAGAACCCCAACCCGGGCGGGCTGGGGGGGACGGGAGCGGCCGCGGGTGCAGAAAGGCCCCCCACCCAGCCAGCTCAGACCCCGGCCGCGGCGCTGCCCCGCGAGCGGCTCACGTCTCTGTCCATGGAGGTGGACAGCAGCAGCTGCTGGCCGTCCTCGGTGCGCAGAGGACACAGGTTGAACACGATGCGGGAGTGGTTCTGGCCCTCCGCGGCCGCGCTGAAGAGCGTGTGCCTCCGCCGCCAGGGCTGCGCCAGGTCCCACAGCAGCAGCTCGCCCCTGGCAGAGCAGCGAGGGCCCCTCAGGGCGGCTCCCGCACGCCGCGCACCCCCCACGTCCTCCCGACGCCCTGCTCACGCAGCGCCTCTCAGCCGGCACAGCCCGGACGCGGCTGGCGGGGGGGTTGCGCACGCCGAGCCCACACGGCCCCGCTGCGGAGCAGGACGCGCGTGTTAACGCCGCCGAGTCGAGGGGCAAGAGGCCCGGGCACGGCCCCCCACCCAGACTGGGAGCGCGGCCCCACTCCGACTGCGCGGGAGGCTGCAGTCCGAGGACGGACGTGCCCGCAACGGCAGCAGGCTGGCGGGATGCGGTCCCCGCTGCCTGCCGGCCCACCCCCAGCAGGCTGCTCGTGGGGGTCCGCGACTCCACACCCCGAGACCCCACTAGAGGAGCCGCAGGAGGCGAGGCCAGCGCGGGCCCCCTGCTGCCTAGAAGCAGACGCCGGAGCGCCCCGCTGGAGCCGTGTGCCCGGACTTACCCGAAGCAGCTGGACACCAGCTGCGTCGGCCGGTCCTCGGGCCAGTGCAGCGCCAGCCAGAGGCGCTCCCTCACGGCCGGGTCGACGCCGCCTCTTCTCCTCAGGAAGGGCAGCCTCAGGACCGTCACCCCTGCGGGAACACGGCCGTGGCCCTCAGCACCACGGCGCCCCGCCCGCCCCCGCGCCCGCCCCCCAGCGTGTGGAGACCCTGTGCACTTGGTGACCGGGGGGCAGCCCTCGCTTGCTCAGGGACAGCGCTGGACACCCCCTGGCTGACCCGGGCTGTCCTGGCCACTTAAAACCGCGAAGACTCGTGTCTGGGAACGCGGTCTCCAACTGGAGTGGAGAACCCGGCTGGGCACCGGAGCCGAGCTTCTTCCACTGAGGAGGGAGGGACTCCCCCCAGGGGGCCAGAAGCCCGGCGGGGCACAGGTCTGCGAGGCCACAGCTGTGGTGGGCAGCCGCTCCCCCCCACCCCAGGCTCAGAGCACCAGCGGGGTGTCTGCAAGCAGTGCTGGGCCAAAGAGATGAGGAGCCAGACCAGAGGGGGTCCCGGCACCCCGCTGACTCGGCCACGCAGCCACTGGGTGTCCAGGCGCCAGGCCGACGCCGGAGACACCTGCCACGCGCAGCCTCAGGACCGGAGGAGAAACCCCCGCGCTCGTACCGCGGCCACGCGAGCAGCTCCACAGGCGGATGGTCTGGTCTCTGCTGCCCGTGGCCAGGTAGCAGCCGGGGCCCGGCGCCGCGGCTGTGCCCTGGGGGCCCTCCGGCTCGTCTAGGACAGAGGCAGCCGTGTCGGCCTCAGCTGGCTGCGGGCCGGGGCGGTCCCCGGAACGCAGCTGCTGTTTCCACCATCTGATCTGCCAAACTTAGCGTTTCAATGGCAATTCCAAGGGCACAGTCCACCCACGTGCTGTCCACCGCGGCCCCTCGCACCCCCACCTGGGCTGTCCTCCTGATGTATGGACAAGCAGTCCTCCCCGGGCAGGGGGCACCAGGCTATGGAGTGGACCTCGTCGTCGTGGCCCCGGAACCTGTGGATCACGTCCCCCTTCTTACTGAGGTCGATGATAACCACGATGCCATCCTTGTAGCTGGAAACCGAGGCAGAAGCGTCAGCGCTGGGGCCAGGGCTCGGCCTCAGCTCCAGGAGCTGCCCCGGGCGCGGCGGACCCCTCCTCTCCCCCCGCCCCTCAGCAGTGTTTCAGCGGATCCGCCTGTTCTGCTGCCCACTCTGGAGTCCTCTCACCCCCTGCACCTGTACCTGGGGACCCCAACTCTGTGCACAAAAATAAATAAATCTCTGAAAACGACCAAAGCGTCCTGCCGACCACATGCTGCACCCCAGGCTGCCGGGGCGGGGGTGGGCGTGGGGGGCACAGACAGGAAGCAACCTCCCAGGTTTCCGACTGCCCTCTCCTCTCCAGCCAGACCGCCTCCTGCTGCTCTGGTTTCCTGGGCTTTTCTGGCCCCCGGCCCCAGCTCGTCACTGCCCACCCCGCACACAAACCCCGCCACGGCCCTCCCACTCCCGCCTCCTCCACCAGCACGAACACGGCCCCGCTCTGCTCCGGGCAGGGGCCCCTCGCCCTGCCCACACCTCCTGGGCTTCACATCCGTGCACCCCTCACAGCGGGTGTGAACCTGGTCTTCTCGTGGGCCTCCCCACTCCCCGCCCATCCCGGGATCGCCCACCAGCTTTCCCGCTCATGTTTCACTGAAGGCGCCTATGCCCCGTCGCCACCTGGAGGGAAGGGACATGTCTGGGAAGGTAAATGGACGGTAAATGGGGCGGAAAGGGGGTGCGCGCTCCAGCACCGCGGCCTGGGACGGGGGGGTGGGAGGAGGCGCCCAGCCAGAGCGCTCTACCCGCAGCTGGAACACAGGGGCCAAGTCATGTTGCCGCCAAGGACCAGCAGACCTGGGGGGAGTGTGAGCCGGGGGGCAGTCAGCAAGGAGGAAAGTATCACAGAAACCAAACCGCGGGGACAGAAACAGAGCGCGGAGGGCAGAGAGGGCAGGCCCTGGGGTCACCGGAGCCGACGACGCCCGGCTGAGGAGAGGCGACGCCGGGAGACAGCTGCGAGGGCTGAAGGGGCAGGGATGCGCCCCGACACGGAGAGCACACGGGACTCACCCGACTGCGACCCAGTCGTCATGATGAGGTGAACAAGTAAGGCAGAAAATCGTCCTGGGTTCTACAAAGAGGTACTGGCTGTCGTTTCTGTGAAGCCAGTAGCAGAACACGACCCCCTTTTCGTCTCCGGACACGATCAAGTCCCTCACCCGCGGAGACCAGTGCAGCGCGGAGATGGTGTGCTGTGGGCCCAACGAGAACACGATGCCGCTGGTGTGACGGGCTCAGCCCGGCCCTGGCAGCCAGGCCGCTCGGAGCGCCCGGCCTCTCACTGCTGAGCGCAGGCTCGTGGGCAGACTGAGCAGCCTCTCCCTGCCCTGGCTCCCGAAAGGCCTAGCAAGCACCCGCGTCACTGCGCCCCACCTCCCAGACACAGCGGCGGTCGACGTCTTCCGGGCGAAGCCGTGTCTGCTGTGAGTACTGCGCCCCGCCAGCAGCCCACACGTCAGAGGCTGCTGACCCCTGTGGCGCAGGGCCGCAGGGCCCCTCACCGGCGGAGTTTTGGTAACTGAGTGGGCACCGACCCAAGCTCTCGCCATGCGCAGAGGTCAGCCGCACTGCGCGGTGCAGAAAGCTCTCCCTGGGCACCCGACAGCCGGCGGCACCATACCTGGTGGAGGGCGTGCTCGGTCACCACCGTTTTGGTCTCCACGTCCCAGATTTTCACGGTCCCGTCGTCGGAGCTAGTGGCACAGAGGTGGTACTGCCCCGGGTGCTGAGAAAACGTGAAGCCGGAGACCCTCTCCGTGTGACCCACCAACTCTCCTACGACTTCAAGCACAAGCAGACACTAGGTTAGCTGCAGTGCTACCAGGGGGCCACAGCCAGTGGGGTCCCACCGCGCCCCGAGTGACAGAGCGCCAGGGACCCGCGGGCAGGACGCTCCGCCCCAGGCGACTTCGGCGAGTCCCTTTGCGAGTCTCCACCTTCGGGGCTGGGCTGCTGCCGCCTGAGCCGCTTCACGGGCAGAGCCGGAGCGCGGAGCCCACCGGGCTCACCGGGGGCGGGCGCGGCAGGGCCCGAAGCCTGAGGCTGCGCCCGCGCCCCCAGGGTCCATCTTCAAGGGCTTCCGGGAGCCGGACATCCACTTCCCGCCGTCCTACAAGTTCGACGTGGGCACGGACCGCTACGACAGCTCGCCCAAGCAGAGGACGCCCTCCTACACGGTGAGCCGCCACGCCGCGGGGCCGGCGGCCAGGGTACTCTGGCCCGGCCCCCCCAAACTGTCAACACACAGATGGCAGAAGTCAGGAGCCCGAGGTTCCCGCGGCGGCCCGGCGGCGTCCGACC